CCTCAGGAACAAATTCATTAAAAATTTTGTTATTCGATTAGGAAAAAAACAACAGACAAATTTTTAGATCTAATGTTTGTGAACACGCTTGCAAAAAACCCCAATCAATTTCCATGAGCGATACGTGCGGTATTCATTACGTAAGACATGTCAATAAAATCCAATACGGCGGTGTATCCCTGGAAACGAAACTTTTTCTCAAATTTGATTGCGGATTTTAAGACTCCTTACTATACTTGTTATATGTGTGAAATTTGGTCAAATTCGGTCCAGTCATAAGCGAGATAGCCTCCAGGTGTAGCCCCCCCCCCCTTAAAAACAAACAAACGAACAAACAAACAAGCAAACAAACAAACAAACAAACAAAAACTGTTAAAAAGTAAACAAATTATGACTTAAGCGCTTGAGGACTGAAACTGGGGAGACGATTTGTTATTTTTGTATGTTGAATGCGAGAGCACGTTGCCTTGTGCAGGCAGAATCTAGACCCATTGTTCAGTTTATTCAGTTTTCGCTCTTTTTTTTGAAAATCGTTCTTAGAGGGTTGTTACCGGGTGCGCTGGTGTAGTTGGCTTCTCCTTTCCTGTCAAACATCTATTGTCCTTATCTCTCCTACTTGTTTTCTTTGTAATTCACTCTAAAAAAAACCACCTCTGTAGAGTCTGATCTTCGGCACTAATATGACTTGTTTGTGATTCGAGTGCCGTAAAACTCTTATAAAAGCTTTGAAGAATAAAAATCTTTTCTTTTTGGCAAATAAGGTGTATATTGTCTGGAACAGATAGTGAGGAAGTGTGCTGGTTTTTCTGAGTCGACCATGAACGACATTGGAATATGTAAGACAAGAAGTTAGTGTCTTTGTCAAACATTAGTTCGTGGTTTTGACACTTGTGAAGCGCGCATTTGCTACTTCTGACTGGTTCTTGACAATTTGCTCTGAGTTTGTGACGAGGCAGAAAGGAAGGATATTATTTCAAAATGCAGAAACAGACGAGTGGCATCTTGTTCTCTTACGTCAACAAAAGGTGGGTACCGGTGCACAAAAATAGTGACGTCATCAATTATTTATTTGAAGGTTGTTTAGTGGAGAGATACATGTTTAAAAAATACTATAATATGAAAATGTCAAAATTCCCCATAACTCCATTTGTAGCCAAATTACGACACCTGAAAATGCTCAAAACCTAGACCTGTACTTAATACTAGTTTGGTAGTATGGTAGTTTGTGTTATAACGGCACTACGATAGCTCCTTGCACTCTGTGCTCCCTGAGAAGCTGAGAATGTCTTTGAGTGCTCCAGGGTCTGTTGCGATAATAATAGATTGTAAATCGCATAGAGTTTACTGTTGTGCATGGAAATGCACCATTTCAATCATCATCATCATCATCATCATCATCATCATCATCATCATCATCATCATCAT